TCTTGAGCCAGTCTTACGTTACATCAAGATTTAGGATGTATGCTGTAAACAAATGTGGCAAGATGAAACCAAACAAACAACAACAAAACTCATTATTGTTTTTTTTTGTATCGCTCTTTTACCAGTAAGCCGCCCTGGGCAACGCTATCTCTTGCAGAGTGTCATTCAGTCTTATTAATTAATGTGGGTTTGCACTTCTGGCTGACACTTCAGCCGACGCGTCCTCCATAGGACTTGCTCTCAGAATTGGAAATCATTCAAAAATTGCTTTATTTGAATGTCGAGTGATTATTTTAATAAAATATTATTTGATTAAAAAAATAATTTATTGTTTAAAAAAAACGCTAGATAATTTATATAAACTATAAAAAAACATTTTTCGAATAAAAAAATTGTTTATTGCAAAATAAATTTAATTATTAGTTCATTGTTGCCACGTGTAAACTAATTGACAATTATTTTACATTATATATTGGAGTGTGCGTGCTTTAAGCCTGAAATAATGTAATTTTATCGCAATGGTGTCTGATGATAGATAATGCAATACAGGTATACGAGGTATAGAAATGTTTAATTATAGTATTACTGTGATACTTTTCTGACCAAAATCCTAGTAGCTAGAAATTTATATTTTCTAGCATTGACAAATTTTTGAGTGTTTTTGTAGTACTTAAAAAAATAATGAATCCAATATATTTTATAGTTATTATCTTATCAATCGTGTGTCTACAACTTGTTCTTTTTAATAATAATATAAATTTTAAAAAACTCACAATTGCTTTTATATGATCACACCAATTATTCATTTTAGCATTGATGCGGAGCTGAAAAGGTATTGTTTTTACTGTCATGTGTTTTTTTATGACTGAACTCAAGAACCCCAAGTTGCTATGTGTGTGAATCGATTGAATAATTGCTAATTCAGTCTTATTTCCAACACATTTATCTTTATATAATATCTATTTTAATAGAAACAAAATACAATTTAAAAAACCTTCGCCGCTCTGCATCGAATCTAAAATTACCATACAATTTTAATTTAATACTAATAACCATAATGGTTTTATTTTTTATTATCAACTGCCTACCTAATAAATCATGACTATTTAGTAATTAAGTATTTTTAAATTAGTAACTCATAAAAATAATGTTTTTACTTTTACAAAAGCGTTCTATTTTTTAACATACTAACTGTATACAGATTATTATACAATTTATACCTTAGGGCTTACACATAATACTGTATTAAGCTATACAATAATCATTGTAAGCGCGTATATTACTTACATTTTTTTAAAGATACATTTCTATATAAAAATGACACGTGCAAATAAGAACGTGTATTTTAATTGTTCAACAATTTTATTTACTATCGCATTTCAAAGATTCTGTCCCTGTAGATGTATACATCCGCCGCATAATCGAATACATTAAATGTCAATATTAGTACAAAGTTTATAATTATTTACACAGCGAACTCGCAATTATTAGTAATTGCAGTTAATGAACTGACAACTTGCAGTGGCTCTGCTGTGTAAAAGAGAGTTCAATAAGATTCTTGAGAACGCAGTTCCATAGTGAATAAGTAAATATTAAATCACTTCGCCCTTGATCTTAATAATTAGCGTACCAAGATAAACTTTTGAAATAATTCAATTAACGGTCCAAGCGAAGTTAAATGTTCTTAATATATTTATAAAACGGTATCGAAATTCAAACGAGCTGCATTAGAAAAGTACACGTTGATTAGCGATTAAAACACTTAAATAAATTAAGCATGTCTGGAATATCTAAGTACCTACCTATCCAATGTTATTTTATCTAATTTGATTCCAACTTTCATTTACAGAGCGCTGCAATTTTTAGTCGCGAAAAATGTTCATCAAATGCATAATATAGTATAACGTCGTGTTGCAACGAATACAGTGAAAATGTTTTTATAAGTAATACTGTAACACTATTAACTACAATAACTACCTATTAAGTTGGATTAAACTCAAATTATATTATGGGTCGTTTGCCACAACGGAATACTTGGATTTAATTTTGTTTTTTAGCAACTGTAAAATACAGTATTACCAAAACAACGTAGATTTTTTACGCGCTAATTTGTTTTATAGTTTAGCACAATTTTTAATAATTGAAGGTATAAAGCGATCAAAGCGTTTATAATAACGGCGAAACATGTCGTATAGTTATTATTAGATATCGTTATGTTTTTTGGCCGATTTTTGAAATGTATTATAATATGTAAAGGAATACCTATTGATTTTCCATTATACAATATCACGTTTTCAAGGCGTTCACTCAATTAAAATGTAATTTTTGCCATCAATATATATCCAATTACAAATCTCGAAATTGATTAATTTATAATTAGTTTTATTTTTGTTATACTGTATACATACTCAATTGCGTTTAAAATGTAATTAAATTACATCTAATGTTTTATGTACCTATAGCTATTATATTCCATAATAACATCATAACAAAGAAAATAATTTATTTGTAAATTATAAAAAAGGGTTTTTTAAAACATGTTTTTATTTAACAATTAAAATGTATGCTTTTAAATTAAATCTTAAATAATATAATATATATTCTTAGAAAACAGAAGCAAAAGACGTTTTGTTTAGTATAAACAATTATATTGATATGTTTTGATAAATATAAAATATTACATTAATTATATTCACTAGATTTGTTTACGATTACCCAACATGATTTTACAAGAACGATTGGTATGTGATGTTAAGAAAAAGCTTAATTAATGCTTACTGACGATTAATGTGATTAATATAAGGTGTGATTAACGTTTCAGTTTTTTTTAATTAAAGACAAATACCAAAACAAAATATTATTGTCAACAAATACATTTCTCGTCTTTGCATATGTGTACATTTTCCCTACAAATCTACAATTATTATTAGTAGATATTTTAATATATTAAAAGCATTTTTATTAAGGTATTGTGAAAATACATTATTAGTATAATAATATACGTGTTATACGTGTTTGATATTTTGAAAACAATGCTTGTATAATTGATAATTATTATTCTTTCAGATTTCTATAATATTTAAAACATTTTATTAATATTTCTCCAAGCAGCAAAGTACAAAACTATTTTATTAATATTAACTAATTGAAATTGCCTCTAGAAGTATTACTCGGTCTGTTGTTATGGTTTATTCACCATTATAAAGTTGTTGTAATTATAATTTTGAATTTGATTGAATTGTTGACATTTTGCGTTTGAGTAATTATTTGTGGTGCATCACATGAGAGTAAAAATGACCACATGAATACATTTTATATACTTGTATATTATTATTAAGTACCCTTTAGCATTTAGGTACTCGGTATTTATCCTTGGGACGAGCAACAATATTGTTATTGGTGACATTTTTATTTATTGGATTTGCAATATCAAATTTGCTTTATCATCTATCAAACGACTCGTGTATGAATTATATACGATAATGTCTTCATCGTCACCTACTCCCGCCGGGAATGAAACATGGTTTCTCATTTTACGACCGTTTCTCTCTTTCTGCCAGACCGACATTGACGAATCGCATGTCATTGGTGAAGTCGTCGTATGTATGCCGTATAATATACGTACAAACATAAAAGTGCGTTCGTCAACTCAATATAAATAAATTGCACACAATGTTTTCGTGTGTCGTTGACGGCGCTCCGCCATCATACCTATACTCGTTCCAAGAGTCACTTCGGTGACAATAATTTTCTCAGAATTAATTTTCTTTAATTTAAAAAAAAAAAAAGGCCATCATGTGTTGTACACAAACATGAGTGGTACAAGTACAATCCAATTTGTTTATGTATCCATGGTAACATTATATCTAATTATTTTTACTCTACGGATTCCTTGTCTCGGATATAATACTGTACTTAATGCTATATCTGCAGCTCTGGGACATCGTAAAATTCGACTTTTCCTATATGACAAACCGCAATGCACCAGAAAGACCAAAAGTTGTATTTTTTTAATAATGCCGAGTAATGCTTCTGGGAAAACTCGGATCGTTTTCTATTACAAAGTTCTTTCTTTTTTAAGTATAGAAGTTCAGCTGTTTTATCGTTCTATAGGTCCCTCCGTACAAAAACAATGCACATGAATTACCTTAATAATAAAAAAATAATTCAGTATAATTATTATTAAGTTTACTGTGTATAACAGTTACTCAATAACGAGATGACGTCACACCTTCTAGCATTAAAAGCGTTTCGTATAAGCAATTTTTGCCAACATTTGAAATTCAAATACTAACATACTTAATTTTCCAATTTCTTGAAGAGTAGCAACTTAAGAAATCACAAATTTTATCTAGTTAATTGGGTAAAAATTGAAAAAGCACTCATTCACCCTTGGTATCGGTAAAAATAATGTTTTTACGAGTTTTCAATTTTCCGAGGGGTGCAGCGTTATTGAAAATTGAATTTGAGGTGATTGTTGGATGGTGGCATGTTTAATAAATATTCTACTAAAATAGTGACTAGCACTGACCGTCTTTCGCTAAGACATAGTTAAAGGTTCAAGTTTTTTCGGGTTTCCCGGTTTTTGAGGTGAAGGAATTGACTTTTACAACTATTGACACACCAAAGTATCAATCGAATACAATTTCGGATATATAGAGGTGCTATTCAAGTAAATCGGTCCAGAGAAAAAAAGTTATTGAGATAAAAGACACAAAAAAAAACACACACATTCTTGTAAAACCAATAACAATACATTATCAATACATTATCAGCTTCGCATCGAAGCCATAAGGAGAACAAACATTTTGTCTATGAACTATATTTTAAACAATAGGAAACATTTTTAAGTACCTATTTATAAACAATTATATCAGTTTTGTACATTTACTCATCAGTTAACAATGTTAAAAAAACTCTTTATTATTAGACAGGTACTCATACACTACAGAGTAACAATAACCGCATTAAATTTTAATCATTTTATTTTTAATTTACAGTCTAAAATTGGAGAGTAATGGTGGGGCATGGTGTCCGAAGGGTGTGGTATCAAACGATGGTCGTCAGTATCTGGAGGTCAACTTGCAAGATGTACATGCTGTTACAGCAATCAAAAGCCAGGGCCGCTATAACAATGGGTCTGCCAAGGAATTTGTCGAGGAGATGATGATAGACTATTGGAGGCAGGGATTTAGTAAATGGGTCAGATGGAAAGGCAGAGACGGTAAACAGGTAAGTGATTATCACCTAGCTGTATTGCGTTTTTTATTTTAAAAAATTATACCTGTAAAAGCTCTATAATGTATATTGGTAAATAAAATAAGTAAGCCATAGGAACTACTTAGATTATTAAAATAATATAATAGGGATCCAGGTATACAAGTGAATATCAAAAAATAAATGTTCTGAACAAAATGTGTACATATTTAATAAATTGAACGTTCAATACATTAAATTTCCAAGTATCTAAAATGTCTATAACTCCTTTAACAATGTCGAAGAACAATAAGTATTATTTTTATAAAATCCAAAATTATTATCAACAAATTTAGGAATTTTTTATTTGAATAAATAATTATTTGAAAATAATGAATTTTAAAGCAACTTATTGTTATTTAACGCATCAAATTATTCTTTATTCAAAAAAACTTTTTTCTTTGCCGTTGCAAAATTAATGATAAATAATTTTAAATAATTTATTACATTTTATAATATTAAATTGCATTTTAATAAAACATTATTTATAAATTATGTATTTTACTTTTGAGTTGTTCAAGTAACCTGTTTATTTAAGTAAAAATGTACTCAAAATGTAATTTAAATACCTAATTATTTAATTTGAGTCAATATTTCCGTTTTGATTAGTATTAAAATTCGCCCAAAGAAAAACGTTTTCAATATTATTACATCGATAATAAACATAAAATATTATTTATTATTTGTTTTTTTAATTCATTTCAATTTTAAAAATATGTACTTTTTATTTTTATTTAATAAAAGACAGAAGACAGTAGGGTACAGTGAGATCGGGGCATAGTACATACCTACTGGAGACGGAGCATATTAAGGTCAGGGAGTTCACAGGTCTACAATAATTATTATAAACGAAAGTGATAAAATTACTTTCAAATAAACACTCGGATGTGACTCTATATAATGTAGAAATGTAAAAATCGATAATACTATTGTAAAAGCTTAAAATTTTATTTTGAGAGAGAATAGCGAATACCTATTAGACTATGTCTACAAAAGTTATTTTCTACACAAATTCCCCCTGAACTATGAATCCCTAAAATTTCAGATCCCTAGCAGCTCCTCAGACGGGTCAGACCTCAACTCATGAGCCTCTTTTTTTCTCGAATTCATTTTTTGCATTTGATGAATGAGGGAAATTTTAATTTTACATAATATATTAATCTGTTATTTACTGCATTACCTTAAGTTAAATCATTAGTATAAAATATAAATAGTATTATTAGTATTATACCATTACTCATTAGTATAATAAACAAAATGTAATAATATGCCATCATCATTATCATTATAGGTATTAATAATGAAATAATCTTATAAGTTATACTTACTTGTAAAATATATAATTTTACAAATATTTGTATTAAATGCTTCTTTAAATCAATATTATGTTATTTAAATAATAACAAAATAGTAATTATTGTCATAATATTTGTATTATATATTTAATCTTTTATAAAGTAGGTTTGCCGTTTGTCCGTTTGTATAGTATTCACGTTGAATGAAGTTATTTTATGTAAAAAAATATTATTTCAGCCAGTAGAAAAGAATAACTGAAAAAGGTTTGTTCTTTCTGTTTTAAACATGTGGCTTGTTGGTCTAGGGGTATGATTTTCGCTTAGGGTGCGAGAGGTCCCGGGTTCAAATCCCGGACAAGCCCAAATAATTTTTGCATTTTTTTTATAGTTATTAAGTATGTGTACGATATCCAATAGCTTACGGAATTACATTTTTCATTTTTTGACGTATTGTTTAAAATATTTTCATTGAAATTAAAATTAAAACACATTTCTTTTTAGTATTACCATTTATTAAACTTAGGTACATGCGTGTAAATACTAGTGATGGGAATCCGAAAATCCGGATTTTTTAAAAAAACGCATTTTAAGTCATTTGTACCTAAGATGTGTACCTAAGTAAAATTTGTTGATAAAAATTTAAAAAAAAAAACTCTTAACTTTGTCTATAAAATGCTTTCCGATTCCCATCACTAGTAAATGCTGCCGAATGCCACCTATTAATTGTTAATTTGTGTACAAAAAATAAACCTATCATATTTTTTAAACAACAATGTATCATACGAGTTTACTTATAGTACCTAAATAGTTCAACGGTTTAATTATTTGTGAGTAATCGATTTTTCTAAAAAAAAAAGATAATTAAACTGATACTTTTATGTAATACTAAAATTTCGAATAATTATCACCAATAATGCATAAATGTTCCCGATTTTTAATTATTTAAGAAAATATAAGACTTTTACTTTGGGGAATTTACCACAGGCAAGGTATTAAAATTTAAAGAACACTGTCAAATGCCAATAATAAAAATATTATAAAATAATATACTATATAGAATTATCAATAATCACTACCTACTAATTGTAAGGTCCAACATGATAATGAAACACATCAACAAACTTACTGAAATGCATATCATCTCAAAATGCATGAATAAATTACGAGTTTTAAATTATTAAATTAAATCGTATAGGAATGACAAGAATGTCCAGCAAAATTAGTTAGTAAAGAAAACAAATGATAATATTAGATCGACAAGTTTTTTTACAATAATCAAAAGAATTAATAAAAGGTAATATAACATAAAAACATCTTATTTTTCCGTTAAAACGAAAAAAACAAGTAAAAAATTGCAAAAATTATTTGGGCTTGTCCGGGATTTGAACCCGGGACCTCTCGCACCCTAAGCGAGAATCATACCCCTAGACCAACAAGCCACATGTCTGCCTGCGAGAAATTTGCTTCTTTTAAAACAAACATTCTTGAATATGATCACTTATAGTTGTGGTTAAAAAAAACTGAAAATTAAAAAGAAAAACATCAAACACTCAACAAATAATAAACATAATAAGTATAAATACTCTAACGTAAGCCAAATAATTATTTTCTACACATTCGCAATTGTTATACTATATTATAAGTTAACTTTAAAACTTAAAAATAATAAACTAATTTATAATCACTGCGGGTATTTATTTGTCGGTAATGTAAGAAATGTTATGAATTAATAGTTATAACACAAACCTATTACACAATAATAAAAAGTTTACTACTTAAAAAAAATATTTTTTACATAATATATAGCTTATTTTTAAAATGTCTTTTATTATTATTTTTTGTTGTTGGTAAATTATATTACACTGATATAATTATAGAACTTACTAAATATCAACAAGTTATATAATAGTTATTTTATACATTTTTTTATAATAGGTAAAGGTATATCATACATGACCTTATTATAGCCTACAGCTACATCGACTCGATTTATTTTGGCTTATTCATCCTAATTTTAATTTTAAACAAAATTAAGGCCAGCAAATTTGCGATGCTTTTAAACAATAATGCTATTAAACACAAATACAACGAGGTGTAAATTAAATGAGTTAGGTATTTTTATTATACACTAAACTGTATTGATAAGAATTACAGTTTTTTTTCTTCGTTGCTTGTAGACATAATAATAAAAACCCGTATGGCTGCAACTTGCAAGCGTTTAAGCAAAATTATTAATTAGTGCTGTAGAAAAATTCCTCATTGGATCAGCTGTTTAGCTAGGTACAATTTCCGAGGAAATATATACCTACCACCGGTAGTTTGTTTAAATTTCTCCGTTATATATTTTATTATTGTATTATCTGTGAGATAGAATTCGCTAAGGAATGTTCATAAAAACCAACTCTTCTTACTTTGCTCGTTTATTTGGATTTTCGGCCCGTGTCTCGTCTTATATTAAAACGAATAAACAAACTTGGCGAGAAACGCCACGTTTTACTCGGAGGCCGGTATGAACTGTTCATCGGATTCTTTGTGTTTATTTACTTTAGACTCAAATCCGTCACTACTCCGTCAAACTAAATTTGTTTTTAATTAAAAACGCAAATGAAAGACAAAAAACTGAATAGGCATGACAAAATTAAAAACATTTACAATCGCCTTTTTTTTTATAAAAAAATGTACAATAGTATATGTAAATATATTTTGTTGTATCGTAAATATGAAATATATTATAACTATTTATACCTGTATGTTAATACTTTAGTACAGACCCTTTAATTTTTATATTGAAAATGTTTTTTTCTTTTATTTGGTTGAAATTTTGCGGATCATAATAATAATGCATAGGTAGCATACCTACGTACACTAAACTATTAATAAATCACCTAGTAACCTATAAAAATCACAATTGATTTAACAAAACCTTATTCAATCAATATACGATATACATAATACAAAATATTTATTGATTTGCGAATTAAAAGATACAAATAAAAGCTAAACAAATTAGCTAGTCAAATACAATAAATAATTTGTTAACGAAAATTAATAATATTTAACGAAATAATATTGACATAAATTTTGCTGAAACTAAAATTGTCTACATTAACACTAATGCAGTGTACAATCAATCATAAATAATAAAATATCAATTCAAATAGCCGACGTCCCGCCAGTCGCCTAATCGTCTCTTCCATGGGATTCGTATAATACATCTGGCTCATAGACAAGCATAAAGGCGGCTTGGGCAGCGCGTGGCGTTGGCGCGCGTTTTTATCATGTCACGACGTTATCGTATCAAATAATAACGGTGACGGCGTGTGTTGTTTTTATTGCCGAGTTTGTACTTTCCTTAAATTAAACGTAAAATTATTATTATTATTATTAATTACACTGTTGTTCATTGTCATACGTGGTTTTTTATTCAATAGTGTTTCCCGGTGTGTCAAACGTTATCATATATATAATAATGAAAATTAAAAACGGCGAACGGCGTGTTTTGTTTTTTTTGGTGAATTTTTGTCTTTGTAGTTTGTTATATTATATACATATAATTATATATTAAACGTATAATAGTTATTATTAATTACATATTTGTCCGTAATTCGCTCACGGTTTTCGTTCAAGAGAAATCGACGTGTTTCCCGGTGTGCAAACATTACCTATTAATATGCGTCGTTG